CTCTTGCAAACCTAAAGCCATATTAAAAAGAGTAAAACCACCTCCCACCTAAAGCACTGTGACCGTTGCGGTTCTGTGCAGGCCTGTGCCCTCACCGCTCCATCCCACAACACCTGGGACACGAACCCAGGTCTCTGGCATAATACAATAGGGAACCAGCTGAATGAGCTAAAGGAGACTTCCCCCAACCCAGGTGGCTGAGGTCCCTGCTACGCGTAGGGTGATGAAATCACTGTGCCCAAACTAGCTCTGCTACACCGTCAGACACTCCTTTGCAACACTGATAAAAACTATTGTGTTTTTGCATTGGTTGTGATGTTGCATGTGATGTGATGTACAATAAGTTGTAGAACTTGAACAATACCTCCTAAACATGTTCTGTATGCCACTGATTTGGCAGGCTCTATAGCTGCAGGAACCATCTGTGAAGTCTAAGCCAGCAATGTGATCTGTAACATTACCAGCCATCATTTCAGGCTGGCCCTTGAGTGGCTGGGCACCTAATTCACTGATATGGATAAGCTGGCCAATTGTTCTATGAAATAAGTGAGGCACATTGGTGCAAACAAAAGGAATACTTGGAGGCTAAAGAGAAGTACTAAAAATTGCATAACTTCAAATCCCCCAGTGATCTAGAGATGCAAAAATAAGTGTGACACCTTATGTCTTGAATTAGTTCCACTGGACATCTTATCAAGTCAAGATGAATAAGTGTTCGGTAGACTCAGAAATGATGCCATTGTCAGATACTGTATATGTATAGTTTCATTCTCTAAAACTAGTCAATAACATTGGTTGAGATGGGTGGGGTCTCGACACAAAGAAAGTTAGCTCCATTGTAGCTCTTACATACTGAGAGGCATTAAGAAGCTGTTGAGCTATCAGTGGACACTGTCTTTCATAATGAGTAATGGAGCGCTTTCATATTTAATGCAATAGTGGATATGTAATCCACTTTCATGTAGATACAAATTTTGTAAACTAAAGCTCTTAGAGAACCATTTCATAACCTAGGGCATGAAAAGGGTCTCCTTTGAAAGGAAATTATCATTCTGTGATTCAACTAACTTACTTCTTTGACTTACATTCTATTAATGTTGCTGTTCATCTTGAAAATCATCTTGAGTCATATTGGGCATATTCTTTTCCAGATTTCAGTATTTACTTCCATCAGGGTAGTGAAAGCTATTATTAAACACACATTAGGAAAATAATTCATTAAAAAAATACTACCTCAAATAATTGCACCGCAAATCAAATGAAAAAATACCTTCAAAATATCTTGATAAATTATATTTTCCTTCTCCTTTTCTGGTGTAAAAAAAAAAGGTTTTCCACAATTTTCTGTATTAAATGTCAAACTGTCAAACAGCTTATTTTTTCATCCTCTTTTGTATTTTGCTTTTGGAGGGAAATGAATCTTTAATATCTTGCAGGCCTTTCTTGTGCATCTCTTGATGTAAAATGTCTGTACACCTTTCATGTTCTCTTATGCCATTTGTGTTTATTTTAATAATTGGACATGAAGCAGAGATGAGTGCAAAACACATATTTGACTTTTTTATTTTTCAACTTAAACATTCTTCAAAGTTTCCCACGGTCTTTTCAATACTAACTACGGCAAGTCGCCAAGGACAAACATAACACACCTGGTATTTATTTCCGCTAGCACCAGAAAGGGGTCCATACTGTATTTGTCTAACACTGAGAGCAAGACATTTCACATGAATGGTTTATCACCTAAAACACAATCCTTTGCAAGGGGCCCAGTGTGTATCTACAGTTCCCGTTAATATCCACAGTCCTGCTTGAAAGATTTCAGAGATGGATCTCCAGGAAATATTCTCATTTGTGCTGTCACATTGTCATCTCTCATCTCATAGCTGTGTTGAGCTATCAATGGACAACATCTGTCCTCATGAAAATCATGAGGACATATTTTGACATGGAATGTCATCACCTCAGGATGGGCACACTGGAAAAGCAGTAAGCAAGGTCGCAGGACGTGATCAATGTAGTTCCATGTAATGATGTTACCATTAACCACTACACATGCTGTTCTGTAGCAATAAGACTCTCCTGCCAAATCCATTGCACTTGGATTTCCTCATCAATTTGTTTGCTTGTCTGTTTAATTGTTGATTCAAAAGATAGAATATCATTCTGCATGTCTGTGCCACACTTATTCACACTGACCTCTATCATGGTGCTTGACCCAAAGCCTTGATTCATCTCTGAGGATAATGCCACTTCACTGCTGGCGAGTCCACCTGAGGTGTTGTTCACTCGATAGGAGGAGCATATGCTTTCCTCTCCATGTTTTCTTTCTGTTTTCTCCAGGCCTGACCTTAAACAGATTGTCTCGTCCCATCACAAATCAGCTCCCTCAGTAATTGGGTGATTTTATCGCTTTTGCAATTGAGCAAAGTCAATTGAGTATACAGTACAGTATCACAGTCGTAAACGCTCAATTAATCATAGTGGTGCTAAAAAAAATAATTTCTGAAATTCATTTATTTCTTTCATGAAACAGACATGCATAAACAGTGTTAGATTTATTTTCATGTTCAGTACTGTATATACAGTATGTGTATCATATATAACATGCAGTCTACTATTTCTGGGATATTATATCACAGTATCCTGTCATATCTGGGGTTCAAGAGGTACTGCATGAGATTGGAGATGGGGAGTGGCAGACAGACAGACAGACAGCCTGACAGTCAGGCTTGTCTAGACATAGTGTATACTCAGCTAGCAGAAAAGTAATTTCTGCTTACCAGGAAAGTACATTTTAACCATTGGGAACGTGGTTCTCTGAGCATTGGATCTGACATTCTTTGCATTAAAGGGGAAGCCTTTCGTCGTCTCTCACGACATGTTGTTTTAGCCCAGCCGTGCTCACCAGATCCCACACTCTGGAATAAAAGATCTGGGAAAAGCCCATTCGAGTGTTGTGCGTGAGAATTGTTACACACAGCTCCCAGGGCTGTTTGAGCCATCGAGTTAAGCACCCCATTCACACATGCTATTGTACCAGCAGGCACTGCAGGCAACAAGCCATTGTTACGAGACTCCTAAGCGTGCCTTACATTGTCGCCCATTGTATTTGGCTTATAAAATTTACACTGGCCGAGGAGTGGGAACTGGGAGTTTCGTCAGTTTAACCCTTGCTGCCACCTTTTTTACTGGTGGATCAGGCTCACGAGAGGCATCTAGTGAGATCTCAGTTTTACAGATTGGGGGTTAGAACCTGGGCTGCAACAGGAAGGAGCTACCAGGGGCTGACTGCCACTTATTCACACCCCGCCAGAGATGGGTAGAGTTTGAGATCGTTTGAGATCGGCTGGGAAACTGATGCTTCACCACATACAAGCAAACCTTCTGCAAAGTTGGGTGTCCACAAGTCTTTGGATATGCAGTTTGTTCCCTGGGATTCCAGGGCAAGTACAGTAGAATCAGAGGGTCTTGCCACACATCCAAGCATATAAGATTCATGCAATTAAAATATATATGGATATCTTAATATATCATATATGTAATTATAATACTTTCAGATATACTAATATCTTCATAGATAGATCTTCATAGATGAAATGGTTTGTACCCTTCCCCTGATCTGTGCCCTTATAAAAACGTAATCCCTGAGTGGGTTTGAAAGCTACTGGGTCTTAATCATTGAATCTTTGCCTGAAATTCACTAGCAGACCTTACAGAGACATGTGTATTTATTCCACTGTTATTGCACACATGCAGAAGCCACTCACCTTCTTCTCGTGCCTTGTTTAGGCACAACTAAAGTAGATTTGTCACACTGAAAAGTGTGCATACAGTTGTGACTATTCTGTTTTTATTTCTACTGTAATAAACTATTTTCTTTTTTCTTGTTTTTGCACCGAACGTGTGAAGTGATTTGTGTATATAAGAAATATTAATTGCCTCTTTAAAGTGTTAGGCGTGCAAGCTTTAAAATGCTGTGTGAAACCGGTTAAGGCTGATTACTTTTGCAAGGCCTTGTAAAATCCATGTAAAAACATCACTACACATCCGCCACTTCTTCCGATTGCTTTTTTTTTCCTGGACCGTTACCAGTAAGAGGAATTTCAAGCAGAACCCATGTGGTGAGACAAGTCAGATATGAGGATAAATCAGAGGGTAGTTAAATGGAGTTTGCGATACACCAGACATGTGTTCGGAGCCAGCCAGAGGCAATCTTCCATGCCTCACACCTGATTCACAACTGAGATGTCTAAAATAGCCCAGCACTCACAGAAAGGATCCTCAAAAGGATGCCATAAAGGGATGACACTGCGTTCAATTCATTTATCATGGGGGTGTTCAGCTTTCTGAGTGGGGTGGAGGGGGCTGGTAAAAGCTTTGGTGTTGCTGTCAGTTCACCTGCTGTGGGTCTTAACTGGCAGGGCTGACGGCATGCCCCAGCGATCTTGGAACAATTTGTTATAGAGTTGTCACTGTAAAATCTAATTCTGACTGCCCGTCCCGGGGATAAAGACAGAATGGGTCACATGTGGTGTGGATTAATCTCTCCGGACTCTGTCTGATGGTGATGTAACCAAAGGGGACATTGCTTGGGAGCTTGCCTGGTGTGTGTGTGTGTGTGTGTGTGTGTGTGTGTGTGTGTGTGTGTGTTTCGTGTTTGGGCGTGTATAACACAATGCAAAGGCTAGCCAGAGTCAGTACTGGCCTATTTTGAGAATTATAACTCCACTTTCTGGAGGCTGTACCATCTCCTGTCAACAGAACTATATATATATGAGACAATAAAGTAAAAAAAAAACACTGAGTATCTGTTAGGAAACCAAATAGGAAACCCTTTTTGTCACCTATCTCTTACTCCACCCACCCTTCACCGTCACTCGTGATATTTTTAGGGTTCGGCATTGTTGCTGACCTTTAGTTCAGTTTCCGACTAATGCTCCTGGATTTGTGCTGATTAATTAGAATCCAGCTGTTTATGCATGCTTCTCTTCTCCCACCAGGCCCCCAGACCCTGGCTGCCCGAAATCATCCTGTGCTCAACACTGGGAAGCATGCACAGGGAGCGGTAAGTAGCACAATTGTGTTCCGGTTGCAACTGGGCTTTTACTAACGACTACCGAACAAATTAAAGTAAGGAGACGCCTGAGGTCTTAGGCTAGTCTGGACAGCCTTACAGGAAAGGTCTCTCAGAGTGAACAAGAGCAGAATTCCTGTGTCTTCTCTAAAACGACAGAGAGAGAGAGAGCACTGATTTTATTTGGGCTTTTGCTACTGCTGCTGTTTGTGTTGTTTCATTTTTACTTTTTATTACCAGAGTTGTAAACTCTGACATTTTGCTGCGCAATTTACTCCAAAACCCTGCTAGGACAATTTCACCAGATGGCTGAAAATAATTAACGGTTTCATCATTTTTTTTAAAAAAATTTGATTTGTGTTTCACAATGTTTTTCTACAGTAAAGCCTTTCCTTTCCGATCGAAACAGTAATCCTGATTGAAATGTGAAATCCCTCGGTTAAAAATGATTGTAAGAACCACACTTAACGTTTATGCTCATGAACTTTAGCAAGGGAGGGCAATTTATTTCCTGTTAGAAAATCTTGCGGCAAAGAAGATGTCAAGTCTAATTACCATCTAGGTGCGTAAATTCCTTTTAAGGGCTGTGTCTTTTGGACTGGTTTGCTCTGTCAAAAAACAGAAGCTTGATCTCACAGGTAGTAAAATGGAGTTTAAATTCTAGTAGATTATTGTTGTATTTCTTGTGTTACCTTCTTCTTCCCTATTGTAGTTTGGTCCATAATAATTATCATAATTCATAATCATAATTGGTCCATAATCATTATAGCTTAATGCATGTTTTTTAAGTAATCATCAAGAAAATAACCAGTTAGCCCAATGCCTCTTACTAAACATTGATTTTGGTCAGCCATTTTATGATAAAGTTAGTTTCAATACACATGTAATTCCAGTATTAACAGATAGACTGGTAACTACATAGATGCTATAGAATTGAACTTCACAGAGCCAACCAAGGTCACTTTTACAGCAAACATCTAGTCAAGCCCAGAACTGTATTCCAGTGCTGTTCAAAATAACTTCAATTGGAAAATAACATGAAATATAACTTATTCAAAATTATTAAACTGTATATTATTTATTACATTTCAATTTTAATATTATTTAATTGTGTAAAAAGCATGCATTATATCCAGTGGGAATAGAAAATATTGACACCCTTGGACCTCCACCACATTTTGCTATGTTACAACCTCTGATTGCAATGCAAAAATGAAAATACAGAACTGAAAAAAGTATTCTCCCTTCTGAGACCTTAAGCATTTAATATTTAGTCCCTCGCTCTTGTGCAGTAATTACAGATTCAGGTCTTTTGCAGTGTGTTGTAACCAGGTTTTTACATCTTGTGGGACTAACTTTCACCCATTCTTCCTTACAAAATGCCTCCAGCAGTTGCAGGTTACTGGGGGAGTGGTGGCAAACTGCAACCTTCAATTCCTGCCACAGATTTTTTATGGGACTGAAGTCTGGATTTTCACTGGGCCACTCAAGGTCTTGCACCTTCTTTTTAAGGCACTTGAAAGTTGCGTGGGTTTTATGTTGGGGCGCATTGTCCTATTGAAATTCGAATCTCTGTCCCAGTTTCAGATTTTGCTCCAGGATCTGGTCCATCCATTCTACCCTCTGTTATGGGAAGCCTCTCCAGTCCCTGCCAATGAAAAGCATCCCCACAACATTACCTTGCCACTGCCATGCTTCAGTTCAGGCATGGTGTTTTGTGAGCAATGAGCAGTGCTCTTCTTTCACCAGGCATAAATCTTAGCATTAAGGCCAAATAACTCAATTTTTTTTCTCATCAGACCACAGATTTTTTTCCCAACATCTTTTCAGAGGCTCCTATATGCCTTTTCACATATTTAAGACAGGACTTCATGTGAGGTTTTTTTTTCAAATATGGCATTCTCCTCACCCAGTTTCTCCCATCTCAATGATGAGACATTGTAGGTCTTTGAGGGTTGTTTCTGACCTCTTGACTGCTTCTCTGACCAATGTCCTTCTTGTCTGGCTGCTGAGCTTTGAAGGGACAACATGGTCACTGAAGATTCTGAGTAGTTTTGTGTGTCCTCCACTTCCTAAGAATTGACTTAAAAGTGCTGCTTTGAATAATCAGTGCCTTTGGAATATTTTTTATATTCCCTTGCCCGACGTGTCTGTCTATAAATCTGTTCCTTTCGAAAGCTCCTTCATCTTCATATTGCTTTGTACAGTATGCAATGTCCAATGGTGGGAACTCACACAAACAGGTGTATTAAGCTTTAAAAGACAGATGTGTCCCATCTGAATGGTTAACAACTTTAATTGCACACAGGTGGATTTCAACATATTGAGCAAATTCTAAAGGCAACTGGTAAAGGCAGAGCTTATTAAGGAGCGTTAATGCTAAGGTGGTGAATACTGTTCCAATGAAGATTTTTAGGGGTTTTATTTTTTAAATATTTTTTTAGCTCCAATCGTTTAAACACATTGATTTTGTAGAGGATGCTGCATGGATCAAAAGGCGAAAAATATGTACATCTATTGAGTTCCAGTTGTTAACAACAAAATGTAGCATATTACAATGGTGAGGTCATTTCATTCAACACCCAGATTTTTACACCCAGAATATTCAGAATTTTAGAATTGGTGAAGAATACCAATAGATTTTGCAATACCTCAATCTGGACTTTGAGCAGTTTAGAGGTCATTTGCAATTTGCTGCTGAATTGCTCAACCAGTGAAAGTGTCTGTTTGGAAACAGGCTGAAAGCCGCAATCGAGACAGAAGGAACCTTCAAACCTGGTTAGATTTAGCTAGAAGCGACAAGGATCAGATGCCCAAGTCATGACTAATACCTAATGGCTGAGATGAGTTTTTCTGTTCAAAAGCAGTCTTTGTTAATTATTGAGGCCAAAGAGTTCGTTGGTCCAGAGAACATAGTTCCAGAAGTCTTGTGGGTCATCAATATGCTCTTTGGTGAATTTCAGACAGGCAGCAATGTTCTTTTTGGAGGGCAGTGGTTTTCTCCTTGCTATTCTTACATGAACACCATTATTGTTCAGTCATTGTCTGATATTTAAGTTATGAGCATCACATTTACAAGACAAGAGTCGTCTGCTGTTCCTTCTATGTTACTCTTTCTTGGATGTTGTAACTCTTTCTAGACTGATGAACATCAATAACGTTTTGTGGGGGGACCTCAGAGATTTCATAGTTTCTGGTATGACTACTGGAGACCAAACGCATTCAAAAGCTTTTTTGGAATTGTCACGATTGTAGTCCCTCCCCATTAAGGGCACTCTGGCTCGTTCACTTTTTAGTTGATTTTGTGCACCTGCTCCCTGTTCCTGCTCTCACTCTGTTCACCGAGTCGACCCTACATCCGCGGCTCGGGTGGCATTCACCTCCTAGGTGTCCTGATCCAGCCGAGTCCAGGACCTGGAGCACCTGGTTCTGTTCCCCCTTTCTTCTCCCCGACCCTTCGCCGGATCCCGCTCCGGTTTCTAACTTTGTCATGTCTGCCTACAACCCCTCGCCAGGATTCCGCTCCGGCTTTTTACTTTGTTTTGTTCGTCTTGGATTTATCACCCGGCTCTGGACCTTCACCTGTAGTGGACTTCCCTTTGGACTCCCTTTTGGACTGTTTGCCTGGACCACGCCCCCCAGAGCACCTTCGTCGCGCCCCCGCCGGTTCCTCTACCAGCCCAGTTCTTCGTCTCCCTCCTGTGTGTGTTCACTCCCTTCCGGATTGTGTCGTCTGCATAGAGTCCTGAAAGACGCTTCATAACAGGATCTGGTTACTATAAACCCTATTGGGTATTTAGAGTGGTTTTGATTCAAGAAGGCTGTCATGGTAAAATTATGAAATTGCCATAGCTATCTATGGGGCTCAAAAACCTTTTCTCAGCACTGTATACAAATTGAGAATTGTAGAACACATCTTGAGGAGTTTTCATGAGAGAATGGACTGCAAAGGCATCACTACAGGCAGTGCCATCAGATGAGGACTGAATAGAACATCTGAGAGCATAGCTCTGTGCTTTTGGACTGCTTTGCTCTGTGAACAAAACAGAAGCTTGATCTCACAGTTAGTAATGTGGAGCTTAAATTTAGTACTATACAGTCTTATATTGTGCTTAACCAAACTTGTCTTTTACTTTCGACTACGACGGATTTCTTTGTCCTTAAAAAATATTATTGAAGCCATTGTAAATCTAGCCATTAATGCACCCATGTATTAAAATGTGGCCTTTTGTAAGCAGCTACAATACAAGAGTTTTTCATCACTATCTCTGCATTGTTCTTCCCTATTGCATATGGATAGCATCATGTTTAGCTGTGGAAAAATGACTTTTATATAATATCTCTTTAGACAGCTCAGAGTCCAGATAAGCAGATATCTAGTACTGGGATGGGATACTTCCAAGGAAAACCAGTTCATGGTGATAGTGGACCAGTAGATGGCACTCTTTCCTCTGGACCAGAATTCCCAGCCTAAATTACCTGTATGGTGACTGAGGATAGTGTGCTGTAACAGGTGCTGTCTTTTGGATGAGACGTTAAACTGACAGAAGACTGATGAGGTCAAGACTAGTCAGTCATTAAAGCTTTGTATTCAAAATTCCACTCTGACTACCTTAAATGAGACACTTAATTCAGAGGGTAAAGTATTTTCTCATTCTTCCACCTTGGCTCTGTTGTTAGGCCCTCCAACCAGGTGGTGTTACTCTTCAGTGGGGGGGGGGTAGTGAAGTTGTTATTATAAGAATAATTATTGTAATTATTGTAATTATTATTATTATTATTGTTGTTGTTGTTGTTGTTATTGTTATTATTATTATTAGGTGTTTTTTGTTAACCATAGCAGTCAGGATTATGAGTATGAAGATAGTACAGTATGCTGGTTCTAACAATAGAAAATTCACCTAATCATATACAGTAGATATCTATTAACATTTACAGACTTTTTAACTGAATATTACCATAGAATATTACCATATACATATTGGTGATCT